TGTCCCTTTTTTCTTGCTGGAAGAGAATCGTGTTGCTAAGACTGCCAACAGCAGCATAATTGTTCTTGCTTCCCAGGCTAGGCTGCACCCTTGAATTCTTTCTGTGAGGTAGAGAGAGGGGATCTTCATTTAAAATGCCCTGTAGCGATGGTACTGCAGAGCATTTATGTTACAGCATGACATTATGGAACAGCAGGGGCTTGCAGATCATCAGTGTTAATCCTGATTGGCATTGATGGGATGGAAGACAGTTGCAGCTTGCCCTCCATCCTATTTTCTTCTGCTTATCTTCTGTCACTTGTGGGAACTGCACAACCCTGTTTGTCACCAGGACTGACTTAAGCCTCTGTGAGCCCTTGTATCAAGTCCTATCCGTGCTGTTATCACCAGTTTGGGTTTGTCTCTAGAATACCAACAGTAATGAGTGTTTTGTGGTTTAATGCCAGGCAGGTTAGTCTTGACGCTTGGGTTGCTCAACCTTTTTTTAATTCATTCTTTCTCCTTTATGGAGTCCTTTATGCCTCCAGCCATGATCTTTGATCGCTATGTGGCCATCTACTACCTGCTGAGATACTCCTCCATGCTCACCAGTGCCAGGGTAGGCAGGCTCAGGGTGGTGTCCTGGGCTGGTCCAGGTGTCTCATCAAGCATTCCTCCACTTCTGCAATTAAGGTTACCATTACTGTCTGCATCAGGACCTGATCAAGCTGGCATGTATAGACACTGCATTCAGTAACTGGTATGGCTTTGCTGTAGCCGTTCTCTTTCTGACTTTTGATCTCATCCTCATTTTCATGCCATATATTGCTAGGGCCATTCTGAGCATCATAACCCAGAGGGAGCATCTCAAGGCTTTGAACAACTGCCTGTCCCACATCCTGGCAGTCCTGATCCTGGTTGTCTTGTCCATGGTTTGCTGGTATGCTTCCCCTCTCATTCGCATCATGGACAACGTCTACCTGCTGTTCCCCCCCCCCCCCCCCCATACTAAACCCTGTCATCTACAGCATAAAAACTAAAGAGATCCACAGGATCTGCCTCTCGGAGGCAGCTCTGCCCGAGACACAGCAACTTCTGACCTGAGGGAGCAGCTGAGGGGATGGAGTGACTGCAGTTTAGAGGCAGCTCAGCTCTGTTGTTGCTTTAGCATTTCCTTGCATTGTGGATGTTTTGGATGGGGACTTCTTGAGTTATCATGTGGTATCCGCTGGGCTATGCAGTGATTTGTTGTGCCTGGTGAGCAGAGTCAGCAACTCAATGTTATTACGTGAGCTGGGATCATTCATTGGGTACTATAGAAAGGTTTTGCTTTATGAAGCTATTCTAGAAAAAGGCATCCTTGAAGAGAAGAGGCTGATTAGATCAGCTGTCCATCTCATCACAGTCTAAGTTCATCTGCTCAGCCCTGAGTTGAGCTAAAAGGCCAAATGTTTCACCTTTGCTGTTCTCTGTACTTGATTGTTTCTTGTGATACGACTCTGCAATCTTTTGTGTATTAATCCTAGTATGCTAAATATCACTGTTCACTCATTATTTCAATGATACTGTTTTCAAAGAAAATCTCTTGAAGTCCAGAAATTGAGAGAACTGAAGAGAATTTTTACAAATAGCAAAACCACCCAGCTTATGAAGGTTTAGCTCCTTAACCATTGGAACAGTCACTGCCTCCATCTGCAAGTCTTTCCTCTACATAGCAAACGCTGACTGCTGAGTCTGCAATGGGGAAGCGCTGACCTTGCACTGCTCATGATATCCTGAAACATCAGCCTGGCCCAACATTGCCTCACTGTCTTTGTCTACCCCTTTCTGCTGCTCACTGTCCCACTGGGGTGAACCAGACTGAGGAGCTCCCCCAATGTCTCTGCTAGAGCAGCTGTGAGTTGTGTTGCAGGAGGGCTGAGGCTCTGCTTCAGCAAAGAGCTCCTGTAATCTGTGCTGCAGATCACCAGCTAATTGGTTTCATCTCTGTAGCCCTGTTCTGGGGCCTGTGCACATCACCTCACTTCATGTTCTCCTCACATGAGTTATCACTTAGCTGGAGCTAGAAATTATTCCTCTCCCTCTGACCAATGCACTTGCATTTGTCCAGCAGCTCTCGGAGCATGCAGGGGCCAAGGGCTTCTGCTGTCCCTGTGCCCATCTCATCAGGGTTTGCTGTGGCTGACAGCATCTTTCAGCTTTCCCTTGGCTCTGTCCCAGGCTGCGTGCTTGGTGGGTGCTCTTCACGTGGGACACACACCTTACCAGGTGCCCCTTTGTGCAACGAATAACATCCATTTTCTTTCTGTATCCTCAAGGATCAAGATGAATTAGGGCAAGATCTGGGTGATGTTTTCTTTGCCACCACACATTAATTTGGATCATCCTGGATACTGTGGGCATGCTGGGCTGACGGTTCCAAATCCCTCTGAAAACATCCCAGGCAATGTTGCTGTCTGGGTTGGGGCTCACTGGGGTCAGGAAGAGGTTCAGCTGTGGCATGGGTCTCCTTAATCACACTGCAGAGAGGACTGGGACTTGCATCTCCCTCCTGTTCCACAGCCCTTCAGGGACTCCTTGGAAGAGCCTGTAAACACCTCCAGGATCTGCTCAGGCAGCCGATCCTTCACAGGCAGCTCCCTGCCAGCCCCTCCAGCCGGGACCCTCCTTCCTCACAGGAGCAGGGCACCAGGATCACAGCATCATAAAGTCAAAGAATCATGTCGGTTGGGAAGGGAGGTCTGGGGGCTTGTGGTCCAACGCCCCACTCAAACCACAGTCCTTTGGAGTGAGATATTTGACACGTAACACATTTTTAACAACATCTCTGAGCCTATTCAGGCTCTTCACAAGTCATTGCCTTTAAAAAAATAAAGAAGTCCATTTTCATGCCCTCTCCTTTGCCAGCTCACCAGTCTGTCTGGGCCGTTCAGGGATGAGTTGCAGGGTCGTGGGGAGGTGGCAGGGGCATACTGGCCCTGTGGCTGTTTACCACAGCATTCCCAGGCTGTAGCAGTGTGTCCCTCTGCTCAGCACGAAGCCGCGTACGAGGGCAGTGCAAGCTCCCGGCTGGGCTCATGCCAAGCCAGGCCATCGCTTGGTGACCTGGTTCTGCCACCCTGAAAGCACATGCAGGAGCCCTCCCGATGTCCCATGCAGCTGTTGCCTGGCCTGTGTCCCCTTTCTGCGGACCCAGCAATCTGCAGGCTGTTGGCAGCAGCGTCTCAAGAGGGGCCGGGCGGGCTGCTGCAGGCTTGCCTGCTGTTTGTGACCGGGCTGGCCCGTTCCCCAGGGCTAGCACAGGAATGCTGGAGCTGGCCCGAAAGCGGGGTCGTTCGCCCGGTGTGCAGACGCCAATTAACACAAAGAGCAGAGGTATTTTAGTTCATGTCTGCACAGAGATGGGTGCTAGGTGGTGAATCCACAAAGCTAACACACCTTCGTACAAAACTACAGAATATTTATTTTGCTACATGGTTAGTATAATCCCGCCTAATTTTACACTTATTGGTTAGTGATTAGCATTTCATACTCTATCGGTTTAGTACATTAAAATTAGCCTCGCTTGCTATGCGAATTAGCATGCATGCTCCGTTCAGGTGGGGGGGCAAGTCTTTTCGGTCCTCACCTGAGTCGGTGGTCACGATCTCCCCTCGCCACATTTACCTTTCACCCAGTTACTGCAGTTTTATCAGAATTCATGTTTTCTGGCCACCATCCAGCCTTTGGTGCCAAGATGTTCCCTTTCATCAGTCCAGTAGCTCTTCTTCAAGGGTATAGCTGTTATTTTTCCACAATTTGTTAATTAAACAAATACTCTCATATCTTTTATCTCCCTCCCAAATTCCTTTCCAGAGCACAGGTGGTTTATAGTTCTGCTCAGTGGAAAATTTTCACTTTCTGCAGGCTATCACTGGGTTGCCCATGGGGCTTTCACAGAACAGTTACAAGCAGCCATGTACTGGCAGACCAGTGAGGGAGGCTGGCAGTGACTCCCTACTCTCTTCCCGAACCCTGCTCGCCCAGCAGATCTTCAGGAAGGTCTGGGCTGCAAGGTGAAAGCATCAGGCTAGAAGAAGGAGCTCTTCCTACCGCATTTTCATGCTGGATCCTGCTGCTCTGTCTTCTGGCACTCTCCTCACCATAGACAGGCTGCGTGAGCAAGTTCCTGGAGGACCTTCTCCCCACTTAGGATACCTGTACTAATTCCTGTCGCTGGCAGTGGTGTTCCCATCGTCAGAGAGGTGGAGACTGTACACCTGCGGGGGGTTCAGGTACCTGCCTGCTCCGCGTGACGACAGCCATGGCTGCGGGGTGTTGGCAACTCAAGCTTGCAGTGTCCCCCCTCATTTTCTTGGAGGGGGACCTGATCTTGGAGGCAGATTTCCAGTCCTGTCCAAAATGCCTCTGCTTACAGACCGTGCGCTGCTGCTGCTGCTGCTGCATCTTCAGGCTGGGAATCTCCTCTTTTCCACACAGCTTTTCTGGACCATGATTTCTTATACTGAGTAAGGTAAATTGCCTGTGCTTTCCAGTGCCTTGGTCCAGGGCATGAGGAGCACTGATTCCCCCCAGTCCAAGTGCACAGCAGCATCACCCCACTTCCCCATCTGCTCTTGCTCTCTCACAGGGTGCTTCCAAGCTGTCTGCGGGTTTGTTTCTTCTCCTTTTTATGGAGTTTTGGATGCATGTATGTAACTGATTACTGCAGCCTGAGAGGTCCCTGCTGTGGTTACATACAAGCCAAGATCACCTGGAAGGAAGGCTCTGCGTTGGATGTGGTTCCTGGGTCTCAGGAGCTAACTGCAAGAGCTGAAGAGCAGAGCGGGGACATCAGCCAGCGGGGGATGTTTGACTCCTTTTGCTCTCCAGCCAAGAGAGAAGGTAACCAGTAAAGTTGACAAGATACTGCTGTAGCTCTGGCTATGATGGTCTGCTACAAGTTCGTAACATCTCTTTTTGTCCTCCTAATATAGAATACAATAGAATATTTCAGTTGGAAGGGACCTACAATGCTAATCTAGTTCAACTTCTATTCATAAAAGAAAGCCATGCCTTGGGGCACACAAAGCTTTCTGCATGTCTCATAGAGAAGCCAGATGCTCAAACTGGGGAGTAGAGGCAGAACATGGCTGGGAGGAGCCCAGTGCACAGCGAGACCCCACAGAGATGTAAAGGAGGAGCCCCAGCACAGCAGAGGCTTCCAGTCCTGAGCATCAACCCACGGGTAAGCACTTGCATGCCAGGCGGCTGGCAGTGCCCTTTCCACTGCAAGGGCAGCACGGAG